GGCCTCCCAAAGTGCTGGGATTACAGGCTTGAGCCACCGCGCCTGGCCTAAAATAATTTTTTAAATTCCCATATTTACCACGAGACCAAAAATCCAGTTGTCCTTGGACCTAAACCTCTGAACATGGGGACATACGTGTTTAGACTGAAGCCCCAGTGTGTATGGAAAATCAACAGACGGGCTTTTTTTTTTTTTTTTTTTTTTTTTATATGGAGTCTTACTCTGTCGCCCAGGCTGGAGTGCAGTGGCATGATTTCAGCTCACTGCAACCTCCACCTCCCAGTTCAAGGGATCCTCATGCCATAGCCCCCCGAGTAGCTGGGAGGCTGAGCGCCACCATTCTCAGCAAATTTTTGTATTTTTTTGGTAGAGATTTTACCATGTTGCCTAGGCTGGTCTCAAACTCCTGACCTCAAGTGATCCACCCGCCTCAGCCTCCCAAAGTGCTGGGATTACAGGCGTGAGCCACCGCTCCCGGCCAAGAGCTGGGCTTTCTGAGGTTGCTACTACTTCTTGGCCTGAAGGCACCTGTAAATGGGGGGCAGGGGATGGGGAAGGTGCCCTCAGGCCTCTGGCCCCCATGCTCTGTGGAAGTACAGCAGCCCCAAACCTCCCCGCTCAGGGGATCCAGGTCCTGGGTTGCAGGCTGCTTCTGCCTGCGCTGAGCAGCTAACCAGGCCATGTGCACAGAAGCTAATTTGGGTTTCTTCCTTTTCTTTCAGCCCAGGATCCTGGGAGAGCACTTGCTAAAAAAAAAAATCCCTCTCTGGGAGAAGGGGCAGGAAGGCCATTGCAAGCGATCTCAAGGCATGAAGCTGAAAGATTTCCTTTTACTCAAAAAAGCACCCTGGATTTGGAAGCCCTGAGAGCTTATTGGCCATATGCTAACTTCTGTTTTTATGTTAAGTCAGAGTCTCACTCTGTCACCCAGGCTGGTGCGCAGTCATAGCTCACTGCAGCCTCAAACCCATGGGCTCAAGTGATCCTCCTGCCTCAGTCTCCAGAGTAGCTGGGGACGATGGGCACACTACCACCATGCTTGACCATTTTTCATTTTTGTAGAGATGGGGTCTTACTATATTGTCCAGGCTGGTCTCAAACTGCTAGCCGGAAGCAATCCTCCTGCCTCAGCCTCTCGAAATGCTGCGATTATAGGTGTGAGCCACTACACCCAGCCCTAAATTCTGGTTTAAACATACATGAGGATGGCCAGGTAGAGTAGCTCCTCCCTGTGATTCCAGCACTTTGGGAGGCAAAGATTGGCAGATGGCTTGAGCCCACGGCAACATGGCAAAAACCCCTGCCTACAAAAACTATAAAAATTAGCCAGGTGTAGTGGGGCACGCCTGTAGTCTCAGTGACTTGGGAGGCCAACACAGAAGGATCGCTCTAACCCACGGGGTTGAGGCTGCAGTGAGCCGTGATCATGCCACTGCACTCCAGCCTGGGAGACAGAGAAAGACCCTGTCTTTAAAAAAAAAATGGGCGCTGCGCATGGTGGCTCATGCCTGTAATCCCAGTACTTTGGGAGGCTGAGGCGAGCAGATCACCCGAGATCAGGAGGTGGAGACCAGCCTGGACTACGTGGTGAAGCCCCGCCTCCTCTAAAAATATAAAAATTAGCTGGGCGTGGTGGCACATGCCTGTAATCGCAGCTACTTGGGAGGCTGGGACAGAAGAATCACTTGAACCTGGGAGACGGAGGTTGCAGTGAGCCGAGATCGCACCACTGCACTCCAGCCTGGGCGACAAGAGCGAAACTCCATCTCAAGAAAACCCAAAAAACAAAAAAACAAATGTAAGTGGGGAACTGAAAACTCAAGAATCCCTGAGTGCAATTTGTATCCAGGCAAGAGTCCATTTCTAGCCATCTATCCTGTGAATTAATTCCTATTGTCCTGGGTACCCTGTCAGCCCCACAGGCAATGGGGTTGGACATCTCTGCCGCTGAGGGGCTGGGGTCCTGGGAAAGTCTCGGCTTGCTCACCTGTGAAATGCAGCCAGTATCAATCTAAGGATGTTAAGGTGAAATGGAGTCACATAGGGCCTGGCATAAGACATGATGCCAGAGCCACTCAGAAGGCCCTTCCTGGCCCTGGTGGGGCGGACACAGCTCAAGTGGGTGTGGACCTCCTCAGAGGGGCTGGGAGGATGGGCTCAGCTGAAGGAAGAAGGGGTAGATGCTCAAGGAATTTCTAGATTTGGAGCAAAACTGACACTGGTGACAGTGACCTCTTTAGGGCCACCTCCCTCTAGCCTTCCAGGCCCCACTCTGGGAACCCCCACATTCTGGGGAAGTACTTGCTGCACCGCTGCTAAAGTTCCATTAGGACTGGCAGAAAGGGGGCTGCCCCTGGTTCCCCATGTGGGCATCTGAGTGGGAGATGGAAGCCCCCAGGGGGAGAGGCAGAGATTGCCCTCAGGTCTGTGCCAGCCTCAGGTGCAGGGTCTGAGGTCCCGGGTCGCAGGAGCCTGTACCCTAAGACACGTGTGGCTAAATGAAGGCTTAGGGACTGGGCAGAAGGCCGTCCTGGGCACTGAGCTCCCATCTCTCCAGCTCTGCTCCGTGGGGGGGTGCAGCTGGGTCAGCTCAGACCAGCTTGGGTTTTCCCTGGTCACTGGGGCTCGCTGCTCCTCTAAAAGAGGGCCAAGGAGCTCCTCTTCTGAGCCAGGTACCCCCCTTCGACTGCCCCAGGCATCCTCTCGGGGACAAGGAAAATGCTTCCTGGGCTGCAAAACAGAGGTCAGCAAACGCCCTAGCCCTCCCCAGCCCGACCCTCCCGCCCCAGCAGGCGGGGCAGGCGCCTACGTGGGTGTGCTGGGAGGAGCACAGGGCCTCCACCGCCTGGAGTCTGTTCTCGGCCACCAGGAGCTTCTCCCGCAACCTCTCAGCCTCCTGTTTGCTCTGGGCTTCGGCCCGCTGCAGCCGCTCGTAGTCCAGCATCTTCTTCTCGGCCAGCGAGATCTGCTCCTTGAGGAACTCGATGGCCTGCGCCTGGCCCCGGTACTCCACGTCCAGCTTTTCCAGCTCGTGCACGCGCAGCTCGGCGTCCCGGCGCTGGTCCTGGGCCTCCTGCAGCTCCAGCCGGTGCTGGCTGGCTTGCACCTCCAGCTGGGCCCGCCAGTGCCGCTGCAGCCCGGCCAGCTCCTCCTGGGCCTCCTGCAGCTTCTCCCGCAGGGCCTCCTTCTCCTTCACGTGCACGGCGGTCTCCAGGTCATGCTTGGCCTGCAGGTTACCCAGCTCCAGCTGGTGCTCCATCTTGATGCCCTCCATCACCGCCTTCAGCTCGCCGATCTCCTTCTGCTGGGCGCCTGGGCCCGAGTTCAGGGTGGCCTTGAGGTCCTCCAGGGACTTCTGGTGGTCCGAGGCCAGCGAGTCCAGCTTGGATTTCCAGTTGTCCATGAGCCCCATGTTCTCGCTGGTGGCCTGCTGAACCTTGTCCTTCAGGCCCGCCACCTCCTGCGCGTACTTCTCGTTGGCCGCACGGAGCTTGTCCACCTCCGCCTGGTAGGCCTTCAGGGCCTTCTCGTATTTATCCCGCAGCACCCCGCTCTCCCTCTGGTGCTCCTTGCTGGCCGACAGCAGGCGCTCCCGCAGCCGCAGGGTCTCGGCGGCGTCGGGGTGGTCCGGGGGCGGGGGTCCCGAGTGCAGCAGGCACTGCTGCAGCTCCTCGATCTCACCGCGTCGCAGGGTGAGCTCCTCCTCCAGCTGCAGCACCCGGGACTTCTCGGCCACTGTGGTCAGCTGCGGGGAGAGAGGGAGACAGGGGTCAGGGGTCAGGGGGCTGGCTGGCTGCCGGCTGGAGGGTGAGGGGGGCACAGTGGTGGTGGGCGGGGCATCTACTTGAGGGCACCAGCCCCAACAGGTGGAGGTCATGGGAAGGGAAAGGCGCCCACTCCCTCCTGAATGCCGGCTGGACGCAAAAGCCCCGCCCATCCCAGCATCCAGACCCCCTTTGCTGTACCCCAAAGATTCACAGAGCCAGCTGTCACCACTGCCTTACCCACGTGGCTTGGACAAATTGGTAGATAAAAGAAACCACCTATTTGAGGTTACAGCTTTTTTGTTGTTACTGTTTTTTGAGAGAGTCTCGCTCTGTCACACAGACTGGAGTGCAGTGGCCTGATCTCGGCTCACTGCAGCCTCTGTCTCCCAGGTTCAAGTGATCCTCCTGCTTCAGCCCCCTGAGTAGCCAGGACTAGAGGCGTGCACCACCATGCACCTGGAGAATTTTTGTATTTTTAGTAGAGATGGGGCTTCACCATGTTGGCCAGGTTGGTCTCAAACTCCTGGCCTCAAGTGATCCACCTGCCTCAGCCTCCCAAAGTGTTGAGATTACAGGTGTGAGCTACCTTGACCAGACCTTTTTTTTTTTTTTTTTTTTTTTAAA